TGTATAAAAAGATATCGGCGAATAACAAGGTGCACTTGATGAAAAAGCTATTCAATTAAAAGATGGCGAAAGGTGTGTCTGTCGCTCAGCATCTGAATGATTTCAACACCATCATAAATCAATTGTTGTCTGTTGAAATTGATTTTGACAATGAGATATGTGCATTGATACTGTTGGTTTTATTGTCAAATAGCTGGAAAGCTATGAGGATGACAGTTAACAACTCCGCAGGTAAAACTAAGTTGAACTATGATGATATTCGTGATTTGATTTTGGTTAAGGACATGCGCATGAATGATTTTGGCTAGGCCTCGTGTTCGAGTTCTGCACTTAATGTTGATTCCAGAGGGAGATCACATGACAGAGACTTAAACAGAGGAATGTCAAAATCAAAGCAGTGGCAAGAGCAAGTCAAAGTCTGGTCAGTAAGGAACCTGTTGGAAAAGTGGCAAAACTGGCCACATAAAGAAGGACTGCAAAAATCCTAAGAAGACGGAGAACGTTAATACTAATGTTGTGACTGAAGAAGTGCATGATACACTATTGTTTGAAATTCATAATTCTGTTGATGTCTGGAACTGGACTCAGAGACTTTTTTCCATGCATCTTCCCACTGGAAGTAAAAGCAAAACTATGTTGCGGGGGACTTTGGGAAGGTGCACATGTTTGATGGAGCATCTTTGAACATGATGGGGATGGGAGATGTAAAAACTACACTCCCTAACAAAAACAAATGAATCTTGCAAAATGTCAGACACATTCTTGAGTTGAAAAAGAATCTAATTTCTATTGGGCAGCTCGATGAAGGAGGGCATTCAGTAGTGTTCTCAAATAGCAATTGAAAAGTCTCTAAAGGAGCACTGATACTGGCTCGGAGCTTGGACACATGAGTCAGAGAAACATGAAAGAACTTCAATCCAGCGGTAAGCTACCCGAATTGAAATCAATTGATCTCAGCATGTGTGAGAGTTGCATTATGGAAAAGTAGAAGAATATTAGTTTCCTGAAAAGTAGCAGAGCACCAAAGGCAGAAAAACTAGAACTTGTACACACCGATGCGTGGGGGCCTTCCTAAATGACATATCTTGGAGGCTCTCGTTACTACGTCATATTCATAGATGATCACGATAGAAAGGTATATGTTTACTTTTTGAAGCATAAATCTGATGTATTTACTGTGTTCAAAACTTAGAAGGTCATAGTTGAGACAGAAACAGATCTAAAATTAAAATGTTTGAGGCCTGACAATGGTGGTGAGTACATCGATGATGGGTTCAAGGAGTACTGTGCAGCTCAGGTTATCAGAATGGAGAAAACCATTCTGGGTACACCACAAAAAAAATGGAGTTGCTAAACATATGAATAAGACCAACAATAAGTGTGCCAGAAGCATGAGATTGCACGTCAGACTACCACCAACTTTCTGGGCAGATACGGTCAGCACTGTAGTTTACTTGATCAACGGGGAGCCATCCATCCCATTAAACTATGAATTGTCTAAAGAGGTCTGGAGCGGTAAAGAGGTCAAATTTTCTTATCTTAAGACTTTTGGTTGTCTTTTTTATGTTCTAATCAATCATGATGCTCGTAGCAAGCTTAAGGCCAAGCCAAAGAAATGTTATTTCATTGGCTATGGAAACAAAGCATTTGACTATCGTTTCTAGGATAATCAGGATCGGGAGAGGGTCGGAAGATTATTAGAAGTAGGAATGTGACCTTCAATGAGAAGATGATGTAAAAAGATAAGGCTAGTACAAATTCTGAATCAGATCCTCGAGAATCAGAGTTCGTGAGGTTTAAAGATCTACCAGAGGTCATAGTACATGACAAAAATGTGAATGACGAGGAGAATGGTTCAGAGACACCCATTTTTATTATTCCGCAGTCATGTTTAGAGCCATTCACTACTCCAGCTACTGTTCCCAGGTCAGTCAGGAACGAACGTTCTCCACAATATTACTCACCAACCTTGAACTATATCCTAATGACAGATAGTAGAGAACTATAGAGCTACGAAGAATACTTGGCAGATGAAAATTCTAACAAGTGGGAGCTGGCCATGAAAGAAGAGATGGATTCCCTGGTGGGAAATCAGACATAGGAGCTGACAGAACTTCCACTAGGGAAGAATGCATTGCACAACAAGTGAGTGTACCGGCTGAAGACTGAGCTTGATGAAAATAAATGTACAATGCTAGATTTGTTGTAGAAGACTTTCAACAGAGGCAATGCATTGACAGTTCTGAGATATTTTCTCCTGTGATTAAGCTCACAACCATCAGAATGGTGTTAGTTATGGTTGCTATTGAAGATCTATTCCTCGAGCAGTTAAATGTGAAGACGGTTTTTCTTCATGAAGATCTTGAAAAAGACATCTACATGCACCAGGCTGAGAGGTTTGTCGTACAAAGAAAATAAGATTCAGTTTGGAAATTGAAGAATAGTTTGTATGACCTAAAGTAAGCTCCTAGACAGTGGTACAAGAAGTTTGATAAATTCATGCTCAATGCAGGGTATAGCAGATGTCAGACAGATCACTGTTGTTATGTCAGACACTTTGACAACTCTTTTATCATTCTAATGTTGTATGTAAATGATATGCTTATTGCGGGGGCCAACATTAATGAGATCAATAATCTGAAGAAGCTGATGTCAGAGCATTTTGCAATAAAGGATTTGGGAGCGGTAAAGTAAATCCTTGGCATGAGGATTGTCAGAGACTGAGTCAAAGGTAAGTTGAGGCCTTTACAGGCTGAATATGTGAAAAAGATATTTAGCAAGTTCAATATGGATCAGACCAAACCAGTTGGCACACCTTTGGGCATTCATTTCAAACTCAGCAAAAATCAAGCTCCCAAGTCAGAGGAGGAACAAGACTACATGAGTAAGGTTCCTTACGCTTCAGCTATTGGTTCACTTATGTATGTTATGGTCTGCACTTGACTAGATATTGCTTATACAGTGGGAGTTGTGAGCAGATACATAAGTAATCCAGAGAAGGAACATTTAGAAGTAGTGAAGTGGATCTTGAGATACCTGATAAGCTCCTCAGAAACTTGCTTGTGTTTCTCAGGAAAGAGCTGGAGGTACAGAGCTATGTTGATGCAGATTTAGCTAGAGACATTGACATTAGAAATAGTACTACTGGTTATGTTTATACTCTTAGTAGTACTGCAGTGTCATGGAGCCCAAATCTTTAGAAGACAGTTTCATTGTCCACTACAAAAACTGAGCACATTACAGTGTCAGAGGCTCCAAAGGAGATGATATGGCTATGAAGTTTCTTAGAAGAATTGGGTAAGAAAGTTCAAAGGGGCACTCTCTACAGTGACAGTCTGAGCGCTATATTTCTTGTCAGGAATCTAGTATTTCAATTCATGACCAAACACATTCAGATCTGACATCACTTCATATTAGATTACAGACAGTTGGTACTTAAGAAAATTTATGGAAGCAAGAACCCTGCAAATATGTTGACTAAGGGTGCTACTCTTGAGAAACTGAAGTTGTACTCAACTTCAGTTGGTCTTCTAGCCTGAAGACAAGGGCTTTGAGTTGCAGAGGTGGATGATATACTGTTTGAGGAAAAACGTCAGTACAGCCAGCAGGTGATGCAGTCTGTAAGTGGTGCAGTAGTGTCGTAGTCTCCAAATGGGAGAATTGTTAAAAATATGGAGCTTGTGACCCACCAAACTCTCTCTACGTCTCACCTGCCACTCTCTGTGTCCCACCTACTTGTCTCTGCGTCTCACCTACCGCTCTCCTGTTTTCTTTAAATAACCTCTTTTGGCATGTCATAAATTGCTAAGCCAAACCCTCTTAACCCCTCCCCTCCTTAATCCCTTAAGCTTGGCTCGGCAAAGCTTACAAGAAAAGCTTACAGTGGAGAGCTAAAAGAGAGAAAGGAAGAGATAGAGGAAGGAGGAGAGAAAAAAAAAAGGAAGTTTTCTTGTAAATGTCGAGGCGCTCAATGACGTAACTTTTCTCGAAATAATAAAATCCTCAGCAGCCCTATGGGCGTAGGCAAATTAGCCGAAACACATAAATCTGTGTGTTATTTTCTGGTTTGTAATTTTTTTATCCCATTTTTTTTTTCACTTTACTGCTGTCGTTTTTTCATAACAAAGACTTTTATGCAATAAAAATCAATGTCAAACAATAGTTTTGAAGGTTTAGGAAATTAAATTCTGCTAGAATCAATTTTCAGCTTAACCAATCCTTTTTTTTTTTTTTTTCAACTTTTTTTTTTTGGGCAAAAGGGAGTCATCTGATTCCTCCAATGTGAAAGTGTATATTATCAATGGCTTGCTTTGAACCAAAGCAACCAGCACGAGAGGATGCAACATATAGCGCTTTAAGTTATCAAGACGTCCTAATAACACCAGTCCCAATAGAAACATGCATTTCTTCTTCACAAGGCAAAAGATTGACATCTGCCGACTAAGTTAGAAATGAAATAACGATTTGAATGTTGGTGCCAAATGGTACTACAAACGGCTGATTGAATCTTAATCACATTCGCTTGGATGGAAAGTAGGATTCGTATCTTCCAATCTGATGCAGAAAAGTTGATTTGGCCAGCAGGTCTTTCGACATAACAATGATGAACAACAAGGTTGTCCTTTTACAGTTTCTCCCATTGAATTTAGCAGATATAACACTAAACACTGTAAATTGCAGATTTTCTTGTATACTGAAGCCACATCAACATGGTATAGGGACATTAAATAAAACAACAACCATGCAAGAACAAGCCTAGTTCTCCATTCACAGTAAAATTAAGCTTTAATAATACCACTCATATAAGCTACATATACAGGTCATCAAGGAGCGGGCTTAAAATGACCTAAAATAAAGGTAAACATTCATAACAACTTACAGCAACTTAAATATATTGAATTACATTATTATTTTTATTTAACCATACAATTATGCATCAAATTACACCAACAGATTTTACATATGACATATATAAAAGATACACTTTAAGTAGTAAATACCTTGTAATCTTGAGAACTGGCAACATTGTTTGAAGATCGTTATGCCCTTAATTATGCCAAGTGTGAAACTGCTACTGATCGAAGAACTGGCTATTCACACCAGCTCTATAAATTTGTAATGGCCTGGTAACACCGGCACTAAAGGAAATCTCAATTTGAGAAGGCACAAAAAACACATTTCCCTCAGAAACATCTTGAGTTACAGAAGCCACACCCATTTGTAGCCTACCATCCCCAGAAATAATAAGCAATATTGAAGGGCCTGAGATTTCAGCGCTCACAACGGATTCGCCTGATGGAATCAGATAGTAGTCAACTTCAAATTCATCAAATGGAGGAGCGTAACGTTTTATGTATGGGTTCAATGAATCCCCATTCAAGATTTCAGGAAGGCCCTGCATAGAAGTATAAAAGAGGTATCTTATTTTTTGTCACATGTAAAATCAATTCAAACAAAAGAAACAGTTTTAGCAGAATTATAAAATCTACATAATATTTGTGAATAAATACAAACATACAGTTTAAACGGTGTTAAAAGGTCCACCTTTTTAAAAGCATGATTTACAAACGAGTAGCTGAAAAGACAATGAGACAAATCATAAGTTAAAAAAGACACTGCCCAGATTTTGCTGAGAACATATTTTCTTTAAAAAAGGCTCAAACTACCCAAAGGAATTATGATAACGCTCCCCTTTCTACGACTCAGAAAGCTGATCGTTTAAGTATTAATTCAAATTTATCAAAAAAGCATTTAAGCAAATAATAATATTATTATTAGTATTATTAAAATATAATAAAACAAAATAAAAGTTAAAAAAAAGTCAAAATAAAAGTTATAAAAAGTTGACAAAACTTTGTCCAAACAAATTGTTCAGGTCACAATGGAGATCAGGACAAAAAATTGTTGACCATCATTAACATGATGAATAGATTTTCAATCCATCTGCCCACAATTACGTTCATGATTTGGGATCAAATCAAGAAGAACATCAAATGGGCCATCCATGATCATAATTTGGATAGCAAACCATATTGAAGGAAACTTGATTTTGAAATTGATGGTTCAATCTCTTGATCGCTGTAAATGGTGGTGATTCACACTACTGTGATTAAAGAATAAGTCAATTGAAAACCTTAGGAGAAGGATAGCCAAATACTTGGTATCTAGATCAGATAGCAGTAAATCTAAACCATTAGATGGCTATCGAGAGTACAAGAGAATTCAATAAATTTTGAACAAAATTTGGATAAGTTTTTATTTTGAATTTTACATTTGAGTTTCTTTCATTGTAGAGTTAGTTTAGGATAGATAATCTTGTTTTCAAATTGTAGATTAGGGATAAGACTGTTAAATTGTAGAGTTACTTTAGGATAAAGACTATTTAAAATTATTCTCCGTAGATATTTGTCTGCAAAGGGCCTAATGCCTGCAATACAATTCAATTCAATTATCCGCCAAACATTTTCCTCTTCCCTCTTTCTCATTCCTCTCAGCCACCAGCCCTTCCCATCCTCCAGACCTTCCACCTGCTGCTTACTGCCACCACCTCCATCTTCTGTACAGCAGCCAACAAGCCACTAACATCTGCTGCAGCTGCTCCAGAATAATCCTCGTGCTGAGCTGAGTCCTGCAGAGAGGACACAGCGGTTTTTTTTTTTGGCTATGTTACAGTAATCCAGTCACAAGAAAGCAATATGATTTGTTGCTTTCAGCAAAAAACAGATCAAAACAGTCAACCAGTTTGATCTCCAATAGAGAAAATAATTCATGATGGCCATATGAAGCAAACAAGAGAAAGAAAACGGTAAATAAGATGTCCAGCATGAGGATAATTCATTTATTGTACAGCTCAAGGGGATTGAATTTTCTGTTTACTGAGAAGCAAAAAGGAAGTTTTGCTGGTTACAGCAAGAGAGGGAAAATAAGAAAATAAAACAGTTTTCTCTGACAAGCATAAAACAAGGTATATCTAACTTGATCCCTAAGACACTGGGGCTTCTAAAATAAATAAATAAACCCCTTGCAATCCTTCCAACATTCCTAATTGTAAATTTAGGGCTTGATCATCAATCGGTAACCTAGGGATGGTTTAGCAAAGTGATTTGTTTTGAATTCACTTCCATGTGTTAACGCAAATATCAGTGGGAAAAAAGGACATAATATGAAGAAATGTCAAGGATAGCCTAAGGAAGAATATACAACAAAATTTAGTATCAAGCAGTCACTTTAGAAGTAAACCTTGGGATATTTGAATGCTAATGAAGAATGCTCCAAATTTTACTCTCAAATTGCAAAATAACTTTGCCTGTTTGGGGCCAGAGATCACACCTAAGCTAATATGATGGCAATGGCAATAGAATGAAATCACAATACCAAGAAGAAAAACCAAGAATCATTAAAAGAAGGGCCCTCTTTCACCAAATAAAAAAAGAGAGAAAAAGATAGGCATTGCTCCCTTCTCCTAAAGACAATGCATTTAGTAGGTTTTGCGGCCAATGTTAGACAGCTAGCCGCATAAATGAGAATTGAAAACTGCACCGAGACCTCTTCCCTAAAAAAAAGATGGGAAAAGAGTGAGAAATAAAAAACAAATTTTATCATAGTGAATAACATTGTAAGAGTCTTGTGGAATATACAGGGCCATGTCCATCTCAGATGATGATCCTACAGAATAAAGCAGGGCTGTCCTCCAACATAAACATGCATAAGAAGTTATTCACTCAGAGCATACAAATCAAAGGTGCGGTTATTAGTGTGATCATCAACACCCACAGCCAAAAGAACCTCATTTATGACAAATATCTGCAAAAATTGGGGTTGGACACAATCCTATAATATACATGGCAATAGCCAGCAAAGCAACGAATATTAGCAATGCTAGGTACAAGTTCCTACCATTACTATTCGATAGAGTTGAAGAAAGGAGAAGACTTGCCCCTTTATGTTATGAGAAAAATGGTGATATGTAGATGCAAAAGCTGATTGAGAAATCTGCCTCACTTGTCAAAGAGGTTAAAAAGCTGACACCATAGTTGCTGATCGGAAATAGCATTTAGCTCATCTCAAATTCATTGTTCTAAAATCTCCCAATGTACCAAAAATTGGTCATTAAAATGATGAGATTAAAATTAGATCATAGAGTATCTTAAGAACATAATCCAACCCATCAATTATCATTGTACATCAATCAATATCATTATTAATAATTGAAGAAGATATTTGTATTTCTTGCTTCTTATTAGTACAAAGATGGGTGGTATTTATACAAATATTCTAAGATTTAGAATGAGAAAAATAATAAATTGAGAGCAGAAATTAAGCCTAAATCAGCCTATGGAATCAATGCTAATTACACCATATCAGGGCAATTAATGCCCTTGAATTATGACAATTAATGGTATTGAATTATTTCCAGTTTAACACCCTCTCTCAAATTGATGTTGATTGATCAAGAATCATCAATTTGTCAACAAGAAACTGATAACATTGTCAAAACCAAAAATCCTCCAGCAGTGAGTGTTGAAGCCTGAAAGTGCCGAAACCCAAGATTGCCGAAGCCGAAGAGTACCGAAGCCTGAGAGTGTCGAAGCCGAGAGTGTCGAAGCCGAGAGTGCTAAAGCCCGAGAGTGCTAAAGCCCGAGAGTGCCGAAACCTGAGAGATCCGAAGCGAAAAAGTGCTGAAACCCAGATTTTCAAAGCCGTCGGTCTAGGAAGGAGTGTCGAAGCCTTCAATCCTTGAGTACGACAAAGAAGCTTAAGTCCAAGCGGACGAAGTCGAAACGGAAGTAGTCGAAAATGCCACAGAAGCAGCGATGACTAACAAAGGAGTTCTGACGAAAAAATGAGACGACGAGCAGACGAGCGAGAATCAAGGCAAATAAATAGTTTCTCCCTTCCCGTCCTGCAAGAAGGTCGACGGGAAGGGAGTTTTGACGGTACTCCAACAATTATCGGTGGTTAGAGAAAAAATTTGGCTCTGATACCATAATAACTGAAGAAGATATTTGTATTTCTTAATTCTTATTAGTATAAAGATGGGTGGTATTTATACAAATATTCTAAGATTTAGAATGAGAAAAACAGTAAATTGAGAGCAGAAATTAAGCCTAAACATCAGCCTATGAAATCAATGCTAATTACACCATATCAGTGCAATTAATGCCCTTGAATTATGACAATTAATGGTCTTGAATTATTTCCAGTTTAACAATTATTTACAAAGATGGTATGCTCTTAGTAGTCACCAGCACTCAAGGCCAGAACATAACCCTCCCCGTCATGAAGTCCCTGCATACAAGCCTCTCTATCATGACATCCCCAAACAAGAGCTTCTCTACCAAAATTTATCACGCCTTAGGAATAAATGCCACGTGTAGGGCTCTACATCCTCTGTCACAAGTCCCTCCATCAACCTCAACATCTCACCGATATCTCCACACAAGTCGGTCCTTCGCGACCTACCTCCTTACGTCTTTTTTTTTCTTAAACAAAACTTTGTTTGGGTCTATCCAAACACAAAAAAATGATCTCATAAATTTATTTCACATTGCAATTGGAGCTCCAATGAATTCTAAACACTTACAATCAAGTATCCTCTCAATAATAATTACAATTGGAAAATTATGCTGTCGAAATCAACCAAGTTGTACATATTCTCCAAAAGCAAGGACATCCCATGCATTTTGATCTTCATCCAAGTACTGTTATGTGGATGGCGAGTCACTTGAATTGATGAGGCCACAGTGCCAAATGGTATTTGTTATGGTATGGCTCATATACCATATCGGGACAGACGCTGGATCGAAGCGGAGCAGAGCGGAGCGGAAGAATCTGTCCAAATTGGGAAGTTGGGGTGCGGGGGCAAAGCCCCGCGGTATGGTACAGGGGTAATGTTATAATTACATGTTGTGCCTAGGTTTACTCCTGGGGTTATAAATAGGCATGTTAGTAACCCCAGGAGGTATCTCTCTATTTTGTAATGTCTTTTCTGAATATTGAAAGGAACTCTCCGCTCTGCTCCCGATAACGTAGGCATCTTTGTCGAACCTCGTTAAATCTCTGTGTTCTTCTGGATTTGTGTCGATTATTGTTTTTTCTTCGCCCTAATTTTCTCAACAAGTGGTATCAGAGACAGATTCTAGGGTAGGAAGAAGACTTTGACACAAGAACAAAGGTTTGCTGTCGGATTCGTCGGAGAGTTCGGCGGTTTATCCACGGTTTGCGGCTGATTTCAGCGATTCGGTGGCGCAAGAAGAACAGGCTGCGGGATTAGCGAAGCTATTTGGCGGCGGCGGTAGAGTTTTTAGCGACAGGCTTCGGATCGGGGCGACCGTGGGCTTCGCGAAGGAGGTTTGCGTATGCGAATAGGCAAGGCTTCTTCCACAGGGCGGTTTG